TCTGGTGTAGTGAGCATATCGGTAAATGAAATATCGTTCTCGTCAGTGCTCTCAGGGTTTTCACTAGTTTCGTTTTCAGATGAACTCTCAGACATCTCCAAGCTTTCTGCCTCAGAATCATCACTGCTACTAAATTTTTGCAGTTGACGTTTTGTGGGCTTTTTTGAAGGATTGGACAACTTATTCTTAATGGTCAGTTTGGATGGACCTGGAGCCGTAATTGTCAGCTTGGCAGTTTTTGATGGACCTGGAATCGGTGACACATTTTCATTTTGTACTGGTGGCTCTACTGACATGGACGTTTTTGAAGGATTGGACAACTTATTCTTAATCGTCAGTTTCGATGGACCTGGAGCCAGTGTCTTATCTTCATTTTGAGCAGGTGGCTCTACTGGATTTTCAGTTACGCTGCTTGGTGCAAATGTCTCAACCGGTAAAATATCTGGGTTAAACGGGTAGATACCAGTTGCCGAAAACCCAGATTTAATATTGGCGGGGGTCATGGCCTTGTCCCAAACAATGGAAAAAATAAAGCCAAAACGTTGTTTTGTTAGAGAACGGTCTCTATGATTAGCCCAGTATTTGAGAACTTCATCATCCCAGTAGTGCTCAAAAGAGCGAAAGATTGCCTTGTCCATTGGTTGGAGCTCATGAGTTGTATTGCTTGGTAAGCAGTATAAGTTGATGCCTAGCTCTTCAGCGACAGTGACAATTGAATGGTCCAAATGACATCTAGCACCATCGAAGATTAAAAGACATGGTCCAGGAGCTTTGTACTTTGCAAAATGTTGAAGCCATAGCTTGAAGGTTTCAATGGTCATGCTCCCCTTAGGTGTCATTAACGCTATGCTTCCTGGTGGTAAAGAATCGGACCATTCTTGTTTCATTCGCTTCCCCTTAAATAAGATTAACGGAGGGACTGTAGAACTCATAGCGTTCCCACAAGCGACTATTGTGACATTTTGCCCATGTTCATTTGCTACAAGATGCACTCGTTTGGCCCCTTCTTTGCAAGAACAGCTTGTTGGTGATGAAGCGATAAGCGGCAACCTTTCTCATCCATATTATAAATACACTGAGGTTTATCTATAATATCAAGCCTAAACAGAATATTACGCAGTTTGGTAAAGTGGTCATTCACTATAAACCGGTTTAGTTTTTGCGCCCTGGCAGGGTTCATGCTCTGAGCCTTCCGCTTTCTAATTTCAGGATTACGGCTGAAAAATCCTTTAAGCCAGTATCGACCAGCCAATTTTTTTTCTTCATTAAACGGGTGGCTTATGTGTTTTGCATCGCAAAAATTAAAAACGCATCTACGCAATACTTTAGAAGTTAGCGGATATCCTACTTCTGCCAATCGAATGATTCTTGTACACAATTCTTGTTCTTGTTCTTTAGTGAGAACAGGCTTGCGACCCAAGCCACATTTTGATGTTTCATTTTTTCGTAAATAATCTCTCAGCGTTCCACGAGGTACGTTGAATGTCTTACTCGCTAAATTTTTGGACATGCCATTTTCAACTGAAGCAATAGCATTCTGCATGTTATCTTCACTCCATTTTCCCCTAAGACCTCGATTTCGTTCTTTAGACATAGTTAATCTGGAATTAAAAAATAAATGTAAGTACGCACCCACTGATGCTAAAAATTAATGAATCAATTAGAAAATTAAATAAAATAGCAAGCTACAATGTCACTGCTAGCAATATCGCCATGGCGATATTGCTCCACCATGAAATTGGCGATATTGCCAACAGTGATGTTAGTCACAATTTTGTTTGTTTACTAAACTTAAAAAACCTTTTGAAATAAAAACAGAATCATAATTAAATACCTTAAACCATACTGTCTGAAATAATAAATTGAAAAAACTACTTACCACGTTGTTTTTTGTGTTAGAATTGGACAAATCATCAACATCTCTTAGATCACCCTTCTTGAAAATATCGATTCGCCGGTAAAATCAACACGAGATTGAAGTTTGAGGTTATAATGCAACTGGCATTCAGTGTAGGTTATAAATTTATTATAAAATTATAATTCGTGGCGCCATCTGTCATAGAGAGGCAAAAAGTACTGCATGGCGATATTGTATGCACCTACCTTATTTAAAATAGAAATTGCATAGATATAAAATTTGTATAAGGAATATAAAATAAAAAATGTAAAGTTTTTCAAAATTTTTTTGTTCTTAAAACAAAGTGTTTTGTTTAGGTAAATTTTGTATGCTATCTATGTTTAATTTTAAGATTTTCATTTCTAGTTTTTAGTAGTTAAGGTAAAGGTTATAATTAGAGTTTATTGATAGGTTTTATGTTTTTATTAGCAATTAACATTTTCATTAATACATTTTTTTTTTTAATTTTAGGATTAAGTTCTTTTATGTATGGTATGGAACAATAAAAAATATTATTCTCTATATTATTATTATTGTTTTCTTCAGGCACCAGGATCTAAGAACATAGAAGAAACTGTAAGCTGGGACAAATAGATAAATCAGCAATCGCCGAACACGTGCTCACGCAAATAAACCATGTCATTCGTTTCGATCAGACTCAAGCATTGGATAGAATCAAACATTTTTACACCAGACTCCACAGAGAAACCATAGAGATACAGAAACACCACAACAACTTCAATAGAAAAGAAGAGGACATGAACCTTAACAAAAGCTGGTTGCCAGCTCTCCAAAAAACAAAGACCCTTTTCTTCCAAGAATCAGAAAAGGAAAATAGCGTAACACAAGCCACGCCCACAACCCTGGATATGAATAAGGCAGGTCCTACAACGTCGAATCCAGTCATCGGGGAAACACGGAAGAGAACACTTCGTCGGTCTCCGCACGTGGTGGCGTAACTAGCATTTTGTAAATTTTTCAGGGGAGGAAAAAAACGAAAGTGTAACCAAATTAATTAGCTGTTCATTGAAAAATATTATAGCCCTGCTAATTATTGTTTTTTTATATGATTTCTCAATAGTTTGGCTTTACATGGGTACCTATAAAAAATAGAAAGCTTTTCCGGTATTTTGAACAGTAACGCCTCTATGTGATAATGTTTTTTTGAAGTTTTTCAGTTACGCCAAAATAATATATTTAGTTAAGTACGCCTCTATGTTATATTTTTTTGCTTAATAGTTTTATTTACGCCAAAATAGTTTTTCCAAAAAAATTTAAAAAACAGTCAAAAACGAATAATTTTATTTAGAAACTGCTAATTCACTATCACAATAAAAATAATATATTAGAAAAACAATAAAAACTAACCAAATTCGAAATTTTTTACAAACGGTCCGCTTCAAGGCAAATACTGGAAACTAGAAGCTAAATATTTTTAGGTAATATTATGAGTATAAAAAACATAAATTCATGACTCGCAGAATGTAGTTACGCCACTGCAAAAAATTGCCCCGGACCCGGAAAACATAAATAAACTCATCAAATCTGAGGTCTTACCACCTAGAATATATGAGCTTTTTAAGATTCACAAAACAGGCAAGCTAAACCAGCTCTTATATTAAAGATAACTCATTTTATCAAAAAGATCAGTGACACCACTTTACTACCAAATGACATTCTGGTTACCAAGGTACCAGTGAATCAGGCCTTAGAGTATCTGAAAGATGTTTTTCCGGACGAAATCAACAACTTATTTCACCACTTTCTGACGACTACGTGCTTTCAATGGCAAAATGAATTCTTTGAGCAGACAGATGGAGTCGCAATGGGGAGTCCACTCAGCCCGGTTATCGCCAACTTCTACATGGAACACTTGAAACGGCTGGCGTCACAACTCTGGATATAAATAACGCAGGTCCAACAACGTCGAATCCAGTCATCGGAGGAACACGGAAGAGAACACTTATTCCTCTGCCACACCGCCTCTGAAGATGTCTACCGCAGCAGTAGACGAAACGTTAGGTAGAAATACTACTTGACCACGGCATTATAGCCCGGAAATACTTTTCTACTAGAATATCTTTTGTTATAAGTCTTATGGATCTTCAACATTGTAAGTAGGATGTCTTAAAGAGCTTAGGGCTCTTCACGCGGGTAACCCTCAAATCTACTAATTTGCAATGGGGTCGTTGAATGATTAGTGGATTTTTCAAAAGAGGAATCCATCAATTTCACCTACTGTGAAAACGTTTTACATATAATTTCTCCGTCCAAAAATTAGGTTGATATTATTGAAAAAAAAAAAAAAAAAACAATACGGATGAGGCTACTTGGCGCTTACGGACCAGACATTGGACACAATACTCAGATTTTTAATTCCCAATTCTCTGACAATAGATTCATGACAAAGAATCTATTATGAAAATTGAAAAAAAAAAAACGTGAAAAAGAGGTATTTCAGTTGAGTTGATGCCTCAAATTGAAGCGGGCCAACAACTTTTTCACATGTACAAAATAATGCATGTAGTATTTGATGGACAAATGATAGAAGTAAAGTCCTCTGCATCCTAAATCTCTTGCAAAAATTTTCCTCATCGAAGTTATCGTAATAATTTGGTACCTGTATCTTTGATACAGTACCTATAATCTTCTCGGAGTCCATAAAAGGAACTAATTCTTCCTGCTCTTCGCAACTCTTGCTCGATGTTTCTGGAGATTATAGAGAAAGTATTGGTATTAACACAACGAAATCGCCTTTGAATTCAGAATAATTCAAAATTGGATTGTGAAAACGAAGTAAATAATTAAAGCGCTACTTAGCGCTGAGCGGTACTTAAGTGTAAACCGTGTAAACGGCCCTTGTCACATAAAGTTGGTAGCTTCACATTCAGATACGCATGGAGTCAGACATAAGTATATCCCATTCCGATGTAAGAATAATATCTATTTTCAACACCACTTTGGAATGCACTCTAAAACTTTACCTGGAGGAATTTTTTCAATGAAATTTTTCTAAATGGACAGATTTATATGACTCACTTAAACTTATAAAAATATCCTTCAAGGCGTAAACCGAAATCAGATATAAAATCGCAACAAATTGATGAAATTGGTTTTTCATTCCGTGTAGGTTATCAGTGTCGTTCTCGTTCAAGTTGTTTTCGTTCGTGGTCTTTTTGAAAAATCGTCCTGTACACTTCGGCTTCGAAACCCTCTTCTATATAGAGCGAATTCAATTTATTTCTTGTTTAAATGTCAGGTAAGAAATAGAATGTCTTAAAGCCGTAAAATTTGCCAGAAAAATATTTTTCTGAGAAAAAAAAAGCATTTCGTGTTTGTCGAGTTGCTTCTATTGATTTGTGAAAATAGAATATAAAAAAAATAGACAATTTATTTTTAAAGAGTGTGCTAATAGAAACAAATGGGTTTTCTGACGAAAAATTTACCCGTTTCAAGAAAACTTTACATAGTTTTCTGTAGTAGAATGTTGTTTCAAATTCTTAGTAATAATAATACATAATACAAGATAACATTTTGTCAAAAAATTTTTTTTTTGTTTAATTTGAAGCCGGTTATTGGACGTTCTATGTCCAGATTTTTAAAAGTTAGACTTTATCATTTTTATTCCTGTGTTAAACTTTTCCATAAAGGACACCGCCCACTTCTCATGGAATTTCTGACCGCGGAAACAAATTTGACCAAATTTTAGTATGTTATAGATCTCACCTTTCTGATCAATAACTACCAGGGGCACAAATTAATCCTATGACTATGTAGTTTTTGAGATACAGGTAGTTCAATGTACAGGGTGGGCCAATTTGGACACTTTCTTATGGAAACACCCTCTATTTTTAGAGATGGGCCCTTGCTCCAATAAGCTGCCCTGCGACCCTTTTCCGGCAAGTTCTGACGAGGCAGGATCGACTTTTTAGATAGGGGACATCGAGATCTTCAATCTGATACCCTACTTAGGGCATAACTCGATGGGGGTAGTGTTACGTTTTTTTCAATTTGTTGATAATATGTTAAAAGATATTTCCGGCAGCATTGGCTCTCAGGCAGGAATACCGGTTAATAGATGTAAATAATACTATATATTGATAATAGTGTCGACACATAACTCGATCAGGGTAGGTAAAATGCGGTCGTCTCCCTAACTAACCTGTATCTCAAAAACTAGTTATAGGATCAAGTTGTGCCCATGTTAGTTATTGATCAGAAAGATGAGAGCTATAACATACTAAAATTTAGTTAAATTTGACCGCGGTCAGAAATCGCATAGGAAGTGTCCTTTATAATAAAAAAAAATTATTGCTAACAATTGCAAAATAGATATTTATGTGCAAAATTGGTCGTTTCAATAGCACCAGAGGGTGCCAATTTTTTGATAAAACCGCCAGGTCGAAGTCAACAATTCATTCAAGGATGCATTGAGCACAAATTTCGAGCGCGATTACAAACAACATTTTTTGAACAACTTTCAATAAGTTATCAACGGTCGTTATCCATAAAAATAAGATAATACAATCACTTAGATATGATGCTAAAGTACCTGTCATGAATATATAACACTTGTTCTGTTCCGTATCAAAAATATACTTATAAGTAGATTCAATCAGTAAAATTTAGTATGAAATCTCAATATTTTCAATATATTTATCTAATCATGTAAACTCAACAGTTTGATAAATATTCCCTACTGTATAATCTTGAGTAAATATTACACAGTATCAATGCTGAATCATTTATGAGATTTTTTGGAAATCTTTGAGATAATCAAAAATGTACTTTTGCAAAATAATGAGATTATGCTATAATTGCATTGTTTTACAACTCATGGTATCTTGAAAACAAATTAATACATGATTAGATTAAAAATTAAAGAGACATGCCACTTAAAAAATAATAAGGAATGTTCTCCTGATTGTATCGCTAATCTTGATATTTGCTAAAATTTTAAGCATATGTTCATAAGTATAAGGACTATACATTGGTGAGAGATGGAAAAATCCGATATTTGAGGATTCATTTCCGGGGACGGAATGTAACCTACAAATTTACTTTCTCCATGAAGATACGATCAATTTTTGGTATGATACTTTGTAAAATTCGGTAGCTTAGTTACGTTATGGCGTCACAAATATGGCTGGTGAAAATCAGAATTAAACCATTTCAAGTCTGGTTTAATTCGTAACGAATGAAAGTATCGTGCAAATTTTGATTCAGCATGAAGCCAGGATTAATGTTTGGGATGATACTTTGTAAATTTCGGAAGCTTAGTTACGTTACGACATCGCAAAGATGGCTGCAGGGCGAAAATGGTAGTTAACTACATATTTCAAAGTCTGGTTTCATGTGTAAGGAGATAAAGTATCAGACAAATTTTGATTCAGCAGGAAGCTAGGATTAATGTTTCGGATGATACTTTGTAAAATTCGGTATCGGACGAAAATCGTAGAATGTCCACCATTCTAAAATAGATATTTATTTGTGAGTAGTAATATCATACAAATTTTGATTGAACAGGCTGGCTAACGAATCAAAGTTGAACTTGAAATTTGAGAAAAATTCAAAATGGCGGTTTTCTTCAAAAATTACCTAGTTTTGGATATGAAAAGTTGACATTATAAACTTCTCAATATTTCACTTAGTTTTCAACCGACTTTTCCTGTCGAGGCCTTAAAATGTTCGCAAAATGATGAACTTGAGAATTTTCTAAAAAAAGTCATACAGGGCTTCACAAAAAAGTTCCAGCGCTATCCTAAACTAGGCAATTTATGAAAAAGTGCGCCATTTTGAATTTTTCTCAAATGTCAAAAGTATCACTTTGATTCGTAAGCCTGTTAATTTCTCTTTCGAACAAGCCTAAACAAAAGAAAACTGGTCAACAACAAAAAATGTTACAGTTCAATAATAAAATTCCGTTTTCTTTTTTGGATCACCCTATATATGCTCTGTACAATATTATACATAATAATATTAATATAGTGATGTATAATAATATGATGACAATGCATTCTCATTTTAAATTAAATTTAAGATTTATGTTTCAATTCGAATTTGTAAACAGAATGAAGTCAAAATCTATATTAAATTATCAAGCAATATCATAATAATCGCCGCCATCCTAGCTACCAAATGTTTCCAAACTATCATCCAAATCATTGATCCTGTTTTTATGTTTGATTAAAATTTGTATGATACTGTTAGTCCTCATAAGTTAAACCTGACCTTAGAATGGTACCTATACCACGATTTTCACCCGGCAGCCATCTTTGTGACGTAACGTAATTAAACTACCGAATATTACAAATTATCCTTCCAGACATTGATCTTGGCTTTGTGCTAAATCAAAGTTTTGTATGATACTTTCACTACTTACAAATGCAACCAGACTTAAAATGGTTAATCATGATTCTCGCACGGCATCCATCTTTGTGACGTCATTACGTCACTAAGCCACCGGAATTTACAAAGTATCATACCAAACATTTATCCTACCTTCATGATAAATCTAAATTTGTAGGTTACATTAACTCTCCAGAAAGGAAACAAAACTGTCCTTTTTTGGTCACTTGGCTCAACGCCTAGTATGTTATAACTTCCAGGTTCAAAACCTCAAGTGAACGCTACTCATATTGTGGATTTTTGATTTACCCATACCATTTGCACCCTCAAAACTCTAGATGAGTAGACGAAATTATTAAAGCATTTTGAAAAAAAAAAAAAAAAAACTAAGCGCGAAGCAAATGTACCTATACCATAATTATTTCGAGTTATCTATGAAACATTTGCTTTCAACGATTCTTCTACATTTTAAATATCTGATCATGACTGGATACCCAGCGAACTTCGTTATATTACCATTACATAAATGTTATATATTTTCCGGACTTTCTCCGTAACAAGTTATACTACCAGTGCATAACAAATCTGTAATGGTTCCATTACTATTTCCCATTCAACGTTACTGAGACGCAATGGAATAGTTATATAACAGTAATATAACATAGGTAAGTTTATGACCTCAATGTTACAGATTGTTAAAACATGTAATATAACACGGACGTAATTATATTGTAACAACTTTGCTAAAGCTTAATATAATAATTCTGTAACAAGTAATATTACATTAATATAACGTAAACAATGAAATGTTACAGTTATTTTTTCCACGAGCAGCGTGAAGTACCTATAGTTAATCAGCTCGCAATAGGTGCGGAGAGTAGTACTTTTCCACGCTTCTTTTTCCTTTCCCACATTCATTTTCAAGCAGATAGTGACTATACATACTTTCCAACGGCCGCAAGAAAATAATATACCAGTAAAAATATTTTAAATACAAGAATTTTGGGATGCAAGTAGGTACCTAGCTTTTGAAAAAATATGGTTTAAAAACGAATAGTGCTATAGCTGTTTCGAGGTAATGAATTATCAAAATTGTAATAAACATTATTTGTCATAGGTACAGACTGTACCCATCTGATGGGCATGGAAATAAAACAAAAGGGTATGAAAAAATTTCATTTATGAAACAGGCATGCACAAATTCAAATTCTACTCACATAAAGTATGGATAACAACATAGCATAATATGCACTTCTAGTAATATAGTATATAGGAGCTGGCAGGTTTTTCGGTAAACGATATTTGTCAACATTTTTATTAATAAGTCATGATTGTAAGTTACCTGGACATACCAAAACTGACCGTCTGCCGTTTCAGGTTGGCAGCTTTAATCGGGGGTTAAATTTTAAAAAGGAATTAATTTTTATTTTGGTGAACGATATTTATCATGACCGAAATTTTCGGAAAAGAATTAACAGTTTGAGGACTTATCATAGTTACACAGGCAGACGATGTGTTTGACAGCATAACTTGGGCAGACGCCTGTTAAATTTGTAATTTTTAAATTTTAGTGAACGGCAATTATATATATTTTTCTGAAAATCGATTCCTTTACTAACGTTCATCAGATACCTGCTGGGTCTGACAAGACCAGCAAACAGCCACGATCTAACAGACATAATAGAATAGGCCCTGGGCAGAGGTAGAGAACAAACGCTGGTGTACCTTACTCTACTACTAAGCGATATGTTCACGGTTAGATCCTATAGACCGACTATACAACCACAATACACAAACCAAGGAGGAGGAGGTGGATTAAATATGCACCACCCAAATTAACTGGCGAAAGCATCTAGTATCAAGTAAAATATCTAGATGTGTTAAATCGATTTTAGAAGTGAGGCGAGGATG